AATTCTAATAAGTGTATAGTGGTATCTCAGTGTTGTTTCAATTTCCATGTCTCTGATGACGTCGTATGGAGCACCATTTTTACCATATGTATGTATGCATGTTTTGGGTCCTGTCCCGTCCCCCCACCCCCACCCCAAGGATCTCCCTTTGTTGCCCAGGCTGGAGTGCAATGGCACGATCATAGCTCACTGCAGCGTTGCTCACTGCAGCATCAAAGTCCTTGCCTCAAGTGATCCTCCTGCCTCAACCCCACCATCTGTGTATGTTCTTTGATGAGATGTCTATTCAGGTCTTTGGCCCAGTTTTTATAAGGTTGTTTGTTTTCTTATTGTTGTGTTTTAAGAGTTCTCTCTGTATTTTTGATAATAGTTCATTATCAGATAAGTCTTTTGTAAATATTTTCTCCCATTCTGTAGATAGTCTTTGCATTCTCCTAACAGTGTCTTTCTCAGAGTAGAAGATTTTAATTTTAATGAAGTCCAGTTTATCACTTCATTACTTCATGGAGTGTCTTCCATGTTGTTTCTAAAAAGTCGTCACTAAAAACCCAAGGCCATCTAGATTTTCTCCTGTGTTATCTTCTAGGAGTTTTGTAGTTTTGCAGTTTACATTTAGGTCTGTGATTCCTTTTAAGTTAATTTTTGTGAAGGGTGTAAGGTCTGTGTTTAAATTTTTGTTGTTGTTGTTGCGTGTGGATGTCCAGTTCTTCTAGCATGATTTGTTGAAAAGACTGTCTTTTTTTTTTTGAGACAGAGTCTCACTCTGTTGCCCAGGATAGAGTGCCGTGGCGTCAGCCTAGCTCACAGCAATCTCAAACTCCTGGGCTCAGGCGAGGCTACTGCCTCAGCCTCCCAAGTAGCTATGACTACAGGCATGCACCACTATGCCCAGCTAATTTTTTTCTCTATATATTTTTTTTAGTTGGCCAATTCATTTTCTTTCTATTTTTAGTAGAGACAGGGTCTCACTTTTGCTCAGGCTGGTTTTGAACTCCTGACCTTGAGCAATCCACCTGCCTGGGCTCCCAGAATGCTAGGATTACAGGCATGAGCCACCACGCCTGGCCAAGACTGTCTTTTTTTCATTGTGTTGCCTTTACTGCTTTGGCAAAGATCAGTTGACTGTATTTATGAGGGCCTATTTCTGAGTTCTCTATTCTGTTCCACTGATGTATTTGTCTTTTCTTTTACCAGTGCCACACTGTCTTAATTACTGTAGCGTCAGTCCTCCAACTTTGTTCTTCAGTACTATGTTGGCTATTCTGGGTCCTTTGCCTCTTCATATGAACTTTAGAATTAGTTTGTTGGTATCTTTAAAATAACTTGCTAGGCTTCTTGTCTCTTTTAAGGAAGGGCTCATATGATAAGGTCAGGTCCAGTCAGGATAATCTCCCTTTTGATTAACTCAGATTCAACTTGCTAAAGACCTTAATTACATCTGCAAAATCCCCTTTGCCATATAACAAGCATAGAACTGATAACCCATCATATTCACCAGTCTCGCCCACATGTGGGGGAAGGCAGAGCACGGGGCACGCATACCAGGGGCAGCGATCATGGGGGCCATCTTGGAATTCTGCCTCCCACAAAAATAAGGTCATTGAGTACCGACTGAAATACCAAACACTGTTTGATTAATTCCCACCTCTGAGTTAAATGGTATTATCCAAGTTTTCCTTATAGGGAAACTACAGCTCAGGGAAATGAAGCAATTTGTGTAACTAGTAAATAATTTGATCAGGATTCTAACCCAGGTTTTTTGGTCTCCAAAGCCCAAGCCCTGTCCATTTTGCCACAGTATTTCTGATGAACCCATCATGTCTCCCTCCTTTCCAATTTATTTGCTTTTCTCCAGCCTCACTGTCTTGGCTGTAGGCCATCATCGTCCCTCCCTGGCACTCCTGCAGCAGCATCCTGAGCCATCTTCCTGCCTTTGCTCTCACCCTTCTCCGGTTTGCTCTCCACAGTGCTGAGGTGCAACCCTGGCTGTCACTTCCTGCTGGGGGATATGTACATTGCTTCTTCTGGTTAGAGTCCGTACTCTCCAATATGGTTGTGAGGCTTCAGTTTGGGCTCTGCCTACTTCTCTAACGTCATCTCTTACCTCTCTCTCCTTTGATGAGTGTACCACATGTTCCCTCTACCTGGAACACTCTTAACCACTCTTCATCTGCCTGGTTCTACCCAGCTCTCAAGTCGATGAAATGTCACTTCCTCCAGAAAGCTTTCTTGACTCACAAATTTGGTGAGGTACTCTCATTCCATGTTCCCATAGCACCCAGTACTGTCCCTGTAATAGCACTGCATTCTATTAGTATGACCAATTTGTCTGTCTTATATGGTAGATTGTATGTCTGATTCTTGTCTGTATTCCCAATATCTAGCATATATGGATAATCAACATTTATTAATAAATGAATGGTAGAGGACTTTAAGGGGTCACTTTTTTTCTGTTGTCTTTGAAATCTTTCCTTCTTTTTAGTCTCTGCTTTTTCTTCTTTGCCATTGAAAAATACTTTTTTTTTTTTTTGAGACAGGGTCTTACTCTGACACCTGGGCTAGAGTACAGTGGTGTCATCATAATTTGCTGCAGCCTCAAACTCCTGGGCTTAAGCAGTCTTCCTGCTTCAGCCTCCTGAGTAGCTAGGACTATAGGCATGAGCCACTATGCCCAGCTAATTCTTTTATTCTTTGTGGAGACAGGGTCTCACTTTTACCAAGGCTGGTCTTGAATTCCTGGCCCTCAATGATCCTCCTCCCAAAGTGCCAGAATTACAGGTGTGGGCCCAGCCAGAAAAATATGTTTAATATCACATGTCAGAAAAGCTATCCACTTTGCATGTGTTTTATTTGGGATCAAATAATTAGTATATAATGAAGCTGGGATAAGATCGCGGGCCTTTAAACTTTTAATTTCATGTGTTTTCCACTATTTTATGCTGCTAACCTCCTTAGAGTAAGATCTGGGCTTCAGAAGCTCATCATCTTAACTGTTTACTACTATACTACCACCCAGTACAGGTACTCAATAAATGCTAGTTTATTTTCATAATGGAATAAAGTCCTTTATGAGAATTATGAAGAGAATCCCCTTTTCTTCATTATATAAATTTGGATGTAGTATATTGGCTAAGAACTCTTACTAATTTTATAAATGTGGTTTTAATTTTATAGTACAGCTATAGATAGCCTTGCAGAATAGTAGCATTAACTTTTTGCAGTATTATATCATGTTCAAGAAAACATTATTAAAATGCCTTCCTGGCAAGTTTTATAATATGGCCAGTTGGGCTGTGAAATCTCTCAAGCACATATTCCTTCTAATGTTGTCAGTATTTAGTGGTGAGATTGATTCTCAGTTGGGAAAGATTTGGCAAAGGGTAGGCTTCCACACATTATTCTTTCATCATGTATTCTAGTAATGTCAAGCATATAGACAAGCCATTTCTAAGATTAGTATAAAATTTTGAAACTAAGTTTTTAACATGCCACAATATTTATATCCAAATAAGTGCTATCTTATTCAAACATTACCTTGGAAGGTGTTCTGGGGATGTTTCTATTCATCAGAATGATTTCAGAATTCCTTTTGGAATTAAAGTCCGGGCCATCACACAAGGTTTTTATTATCAGTCTCAGCCGGTGTTTGTCCTTTGAGGGTAATTATTTTATGGTGAAAACATTAAGAACTAAGGCAAGTAAACCAAGTACACAAACAAGCTTTGTTTAAAACAAAATACAATTCTTGATGCATAGTCCTTGAGGCAGGACTGTGTTGTTGCTTTGGTTTTAGTTATAAAATCTGACTCTTAAGGCATACAAAAGTTTATAGTGGCTTTTAGAGCACCAAATATTCATGTCATCTTAATAACTGCAGGGCCAGAAAGGACTAGGAGGAAATAGAGGACTCCTTAGCAGGAGATGTAGGACCTCACACTTTATTTTAAATAGTAACTTTTTCTGTAAGGAAGCAACATATTTTCTTCCTTCGCTCACATAGCATAGTTCTGAAAATCAGGGCTACCTGGGTTGTAGTCGTTCTAGTATTATAATTAGCTTAGCTGTGGTACCCTCAGCACAAACTATTTCTCTGAGTTAATTTTTTGCCCATTCTCAAAATGAGAAAGCTGGACAGATGATACTTAATCTAATGCCCCTTTTCAGGTGGGAAAACTTTTCTCCCTTAGTCTATGGATAGTTGTAAAAAGGAATGTCTAGAAATATAATACTTTGTTTTGGATATCCCTTGTCAAACTGGCTTTAAAAATGATTTAATTTTTGTTTCTCAAAATTCATACACTCCGTTTGCATTGTCATGATACAGCGAAGAACGAATATGCTTCAATTAGTATAAAGAAAGAGTTTGTTGAAATGAAAGGTGAGAGGGGTTTGTCTGACATTGACTACCAAGGAAGTGTCTTTGGTTACTTATTTCTCACCTTGAACCACAAGAATGTGAACAATCAAATAGTGATAAACTATAAATGACATTAAAACAGGTTGAGGGAAATTATAAGATTAGAAATCAAAACCAGAGAAACAAAAAGAACATGGATTTGGCTCTTAGATTTCTGGTCTTAAAGTTTAAAAGGAAATTACATGGTCCTGATTTTAAAAGATGAGAAAAATAGACACCTAGGAGAGGTAAAGATTTTCTTAGCACTTAGTTCTAAAAGAAATATGTAACGTGGAATTGTATAAGGGAAGAATAAAGGCATTTACAAATAATTAGCATATAGTTGCAACAACCTGAAAAATCTAAAAATAATTTAGCAGATGGTTTTTACCTGCTAAAATTAGAACTGATATCAATCTCTGAGTGATAAAAAACATGGATTAAAAATTAATTTTCCTGTTTAGGAAAACTGGTTAGTAATTTAAAACTCTTTCCTTGATAGAAGAGTCTAGGTATTCTTTCTATTTTGTTACCATAGTTTCAGGGTTACTAAACTTAGGTTCTAATCAAGTCTTACCCTGTTCTATTTTCTATGTGGCACTAGCCAAAAAAGAAGAATATGTCGGCCTACCAGGTGTTCTGTAAAGAGTATCGTGTAACCATTGTGGCTGACCATCCAGGTATAGGTAAGAGCACTTCTGGTCTTTAGTTGTTTTACTTTCCATTTGTATCTCTGGAGCAGTGCAATTCATTGTCAGAAGGCAACTTCTTCCCATAGCATTAGCGTACAAATCCCATTCCTTTCCTCAGTTCTGTAAATCACTTTAGATTTTGCCTTAGTTTACCCCATCCACAAAAAATCTGAGGGTTTTTTTTTTTTTTTTACATATTTCTTAAGCTGATAAGATAGGAAACTATGCAAGATTAAGTGTTATAAAGTACAGTACATATATAAATGCACCCAAATATATAATTATTCATTGCCAAGATTCTACAATTGACCTTTTATTGAAACCGCCCTTGGATATAGAGTTATAACAAGATGTCTTGTATCATATTGTCGTTCAGATGCACCTCAACTTATGAAATTGCAATGGGTATGTCCAGATAAACCCATCAAAAGTTAAAAATATTGTAAGTCAAAAATGTGTTTAATACATCCAACCTACTGAACATTGTAGCCTAGCCTATCTTAAACATTCTCAGAACGCTTACATTAGCCTACAATTGGGCAAAATCATCTAACACAAAGCCTATTTTATAATAAAGTGTGGAATATATTATATAATTTATTGAGTACTGAGACCCTGGACAAGTTACTTCTACAAATCTCATTTGCCTAATGTGTAAAATACTGCCCTGCCTACTCCACAAGGTTGCTGTGAGGCACACATGAATATGTTATTTAAAGCGTAAGTTTGTCATACAAATGGAAGGGTAGTATTACACATCTGGAGGACTGCTTCTGAGCTGCTATAGGGAAATCCTTTGGTTCTGATCTCTCAGAAATTTGGTAAAAATCTAACATCTTTTATCAAATTCTACAGAGCATATATGCTTTAACCTAAGTTGATAGGCCTTATATTGTAGGATCAAATTAAAAGACACCAGAAAGATGCTTTAGGAATAAATCCCCAGAGAGTATATGTGCGAGGATTTGAGCCTGTCTCGGGACCACAAAAACTTCCCCTTCCCTGTGGAAAAAAACCAGAAGAAAAGTGATGGGGTTAGGTTGGTTTTCTGGAAAAATCTTGCAGTATTTAAATCTAATCTTCGAAACGCTTTTTCCAGTTTTTGCACTCATCAATCTTCTGTGTTGTTAATAGCTAACCCTTTACTATATTGGGTTTTTTACTCTTATGCCAGATTTTGGTGAACTTAGTAAAAAACTGGCTGAGGTGTGGAAGCAATTGCCAGAAAAGGACAAACTGGTAAGTATGCTTTCTTATGAATATATTTTTTCATTATTTTTTGCCTTCCAAAATGTGTGATTCTTCTATAGATCTTCCAGCAAGATAGCACTGAAAATAGTGAAAAAAATTACAAATCAAGGGAAAATAGTTTAGCCGAGGTCAATAACACTGCTGGTGTCAGTTTAATCTAGGTGAGGATTTAGCTACAGCAAAGCTGTCTTTTCTAACCTTGTCTAATTTTTTCCAAAAATGTCACGTTTGAGTCAAAAGATTACCTAATGGGCAGTGATTAAGGCCAGGCACAGTGACTGACATCTGTAATCCCAGCACTTTGGGAGGTTGAAGCAGGAGGATCGCTTGAGACCAGGTGTTTCAGACCAGCTTGGGCAACATAGCAAGACCCTGTCTCAACAAAAAATATAAAAAACCACCTAGGAGGTTATGGTGGCACAGTCTGTAGTCCTAATTACTTGGGAGGCTCAAGGGGAGGATTATTTGAGCCTAGTAGTTTGAGGTTGCAGTGAGCTATGATTGCACTACTACACTCTTGCATGGACGATAGAGCAAGACCCTGTCTCAATCAAAAGTCAATCAAAAAGTTTCAAGAGAAAATCTGAAGTCAGAGCCCTTTACTACAGTTACCTAGTAGTCATAGTCAGTCACAGTCTGAGAACTGAGGAAAGTTATCCACTTTAATAGTCACTGTAAACAGTAAAAACATAGGAATATGCTTACTAGGTAACCAGGTACCAGGTCACTATCCTCATCAACCATTATCAAATAATGTACCCTACTTCTAAGAAGCTAATAAGACAATGATAATAAACAGTCATCTGAATCATTCATACTTTCCAATTGGATGATATGAAGGTAGTGTAGGCACAAGAATTGCCATCTTGCTTTAAGGTGCAGCTCATCTAGTTGAACAGCTATTTTTCACCCAGATACATTATCCTTAGTTTTTGTTTTCCATGTCATTGTTATCCTGCTATTGGTATTGCCAACCAGCAGGTTAGAGGAAATATTTAAATCACATGAACGTTATATTGAGCCAGATGTTTACTCTATATGATTTTACATTTCAACCTTAGAGTGGTCTCTAAAAATGAATACTGAGATTTGACCATTGGCATTGGGGAATGTTTATAGCCCTATACTAAGGTATTAATGTAATCAACCGTCAGAAGCTAATTCAGTGACCCCCCAGCTTAAAAGTTAGTATCAACCCTTTGTTTGCCCCCCTCCACTGTTGCCTTTCTTTTCTTCATTTTGTTCCTTCACAACTGCTTTCTCTTTTACTTTTTGTCCTTTTTAATTAATTTAATTTATTATGCACTATGATTGCAGATTTGGAAGCAAAAAGCTCAGTATCTGCAGCACAAACAGAACAAAGCAGAAGCGACAACTGTGAAAAGAAAAGCATCCAGTTCAGAAGGTTCTATAAAACTAAAAGGTAGTGACCACATCTGCCTCCTGCTTTTAATTCTTTTCTCTAAAGCACTATGAATTTTGCTTCCTTACTAGGAAATTGGCAAAACAGCTATATTAGAAGCAGACCTTGATTCTCAGGCATTATTACTGAATATTATAGCCTACAAAATAAGTTGTTCAAATTTAGAAAATGTAAATCGCAGGTCAGCAAACTTTTTCTCTAAAGCTCCAGAGAGTAACTATTACAGGCCTTGTGTGCCATGTACATCCTCTATCACATATTCTTTTTTTTTTTTCTACAACCCTTAAAAACCGTTCTTAGCTCACAGGCCATACAAAAAGAGACCATGGCTTGATTTAGCCCACAGGCCATGGTTTTGCTAATGCCTGGTATAGTTCATAAAAAGGGAAAATCAGGAGGAACATTTTTGTGTTGTTCAAGGCTGTAGACAAGTTTTACCTCACTCCCTCATCCTTCTGTTGTCAGCTTCTTCTGCAGGAGTACTGTCACCCCAGAAGAAGTCCCCACCCACCACCATGCTGTTACCAGCCTCGCCAGCCAAAGCGCCCGAGACAGAGCCCATTGATGTTGCTGCTCATCTTCAGCTGTTGGGAGAGTCTCTAAGCCTCATCGGTCACCGCCTGCAGGAAACTGAGGTGAGTGCAACCATCAGCAGCGTGACCCCAGTTTTCGCATAATTTGGATTCATTCACTCATTTCATGTACATTCATTTTACAACTACTTTATGCTAAATTATGCCAGGTATTCAGGATGTAGTGACAAAGAAGACATAATGGTAGCAGAAACACCTAGAGGTTTAGAATCTACCTATTAGCTCTCAAAGTTTACACTGTTACCATCCTAATGAAACAGTGGCACAAAAAGAAGTTAAAATGCACTGTAACTTATTTTTATTTTTTAAAGAATACAGTAGAAAAGATAAATGCAAATCTCATAGCAGTTTGATAACTTGTACTTCTCAGAGAGTTTGAATTTTTCTGTGCATTTCCAGCAAAGTTTTGTATAGGGTATTAAGAGATCTTCCACTTTGAAAATAGGTAGCAAATGAGGAAGTTGAGATTCTAAGCTCTTCATTACTCTGCACTTGAATTATATAGCACCATGTGCCCTAAGGGGATCTTTGTCCTTTTTAGCTTCAATTTCAGAATCACTTAACCTGCAAAGCTGTCATGTTCCATTTCTATTGCCATATTCAGTTTTTAACCATATTGCCTCCTTAGCTCACTTTTCAGTACACTAGTTGAGCATTGCACCAAGCTCTAGTAAGACATTTCAGCAAAGAAATCAGTGTAGTAATAGAAAACTAACCACTTGCTTCTGTGTGAAAGTTGAATTATTATTCAGTAAATAAAATGCCAAAGGCCATAAGAGTTAAAGCTATATTTAAGTTCTTTGGCTAGTTTCTAAAAACTCAGCATGTGTAAGAAGAACTTCAGCACTTTCCTATAGGCTCAATATCTGAATGGATATAGGTATTTCTAGAATAAAATATTCTGTGATTTCGTATTTAATCATACTTACATTATTATAGCTAATATTTTGTCTGACTTTGTAGATTCTCTAGTCCATTTATATTTTATAACAATCTTATTGAAATATAATTCACATACCATAAAGTTCACCCTTTTAAAGTGCAGAATTTAATGGGTTTTAGTATATTCACATAATTATGGACCCATCACTACGATGTAATTCCAGAACATTTCATTACTCCCAAAAGAAACTCCATACTCATTCTCCCTTGAGTCCACTTTTCCCCAGAATTTATTCATTTGCATATATCCCCACAATTTTGCAATTTCTGTATACCATGTATACTGTTATTTACTTTATAGTAATTTTTTTCTTTTTTTAATTTTTTCTTTTATTTTTTTATATAGTAATTTTTTTCTAATGAACATCATAATGGATATATAATTATCAAAATAGTTAATCTTTACCTATATGTCATCTGAAACTCATACCACACTTTAAGGATCATTGACTTAATATAGTTTGCTCATTTATAGATTGACTACCTGAAGCCTAATGAAATTCAGTGAATATTGCAAGTTTATACAACTATATATAACAGAGCTAGAGTCCAGATTGCCTCACTTCTAGCCCTCTTCTCATCTTGTCATACTGTGCTAGCTTAAGCAGTTAAAATACTGTTGGAGAACAAAGAGAGTTTGGAGGAATTAGGGAAGGCTTTGTGAAAGAGAGTAGTGTTCAAACTGTACCATACAGGGTGAGTAGGATTGTGTCCTGTGGAGATGTTGGAGAGAGATATTCCATCTGTTCCTCAACCTTAGCATCTTTTGCAAAGAAGGATGAAAGGAAGCCCATTGGGGCCTAGGTCCCCATATCCACTTTAACCATATCTTTTAGCTTATTTTATATATTGGGGTTCATATAAGGATAAGGTTTTTGTTTTTTTGTTTTGTTTTGTTTTGTTTTTTGAGACAGTCTCACTTTGTTGTCCAGGGAGAGTGAGTGCCATGGCGTCAGCCTAGCTCACAGCAACCTCAAACTCCTGGGCTCAAGCGATCCTACTGCCTCAGCCTCCAGAGTAGCTGGGACTACAGGCATGTGCCACGATGCCTGGCTAATTTTTTATATATATATCAGTTGGCCAATTAATTTCTTTGTATTTATAGTAGAGACGGGGTCTCACTCTTGCTCAGGCTGGTTTTGAACTCCTGACCTGGAGCAATCCGCCCGCCTCGGCCTCCCAGAGAGCTAGGATTACAGGCGTGAGCCACCGCGCCCGGCCTAGGATAAGGTTTTATTTGAAGAAGAGTTTTACTGCTAAAATGCTGAAACAGTAGGTTTCAGCATTTTAGCAGTAAAACTGGAACATACAATGCATAAAGTAGCAAATTAAGGCTAGAACCCAAATTAGGATAACTTTTATTTTAGATTGGGAGTGAAAAGAGACTAGAATTGGGGAAAATTTGTAATAATAATCTAGTCTAGACATGACAAAGATTTTAATTTGATTTAATAAATGCTTATTGAGAGTTTACTCAGTATCACTGAGTGAATTCAAGTTGCTCATGGGACCTTACTTTCACAAAGCCTCTTCTGACACTCACTAGTTCTTTGTTACAATACGTGGAACACTAGTTGTTACTGGGAGGACATAAAAAGGAATGGACATGGTTCCTGCCCTCAAGGAACTTAGAATCCATTAGGAGAGTCAGACATAAAATAGTGGCTACAAATAACTGTAGGGCAAAGTTAATAGAGTAATATTAAATACTACTAATCACTAACATTTATTGAATGTTTAACCTGCTTTGGTTCAGAGTGCTTTGTATGGATTATTTCATTTAATTCACACTGTAGCTTTGTGAGGCAGAACTTTTGTTCCCCTTCTTTTATAGAAATAAAAAGACACTTAGGTGCAGTCACTTGCTCTAGAGTTCAGCCCCTAAGTTTTGAAGACCTCAAGATCCATGCTTTTAAAAACTTCTTGCTGTGCTGCTGCTCTCAGAAAGTACAGAGGGAAGATGGTGGACAAGGAAGATGAGAGAAAGGAAGAGGCGGCGATGGCTGAGGCTTTGAGACCAGGCAGTTGTGTGAAGGATGGTGACTTTGGGAGAGAATTGGATGCTAGGAGGAGGGGTGGATTTCGATGGGAAGGTTATTCCTCTTTATAGCATGGTGAGATTAAGAACTATCCAAGGCCGGGCGCTGTGGCTCACGCCTATAATCCTAGCACTCTGGGAGGCCGAAGCGGGCAGATTGCTCGAGATCAGGAGTTCAAAACCAGCCTGAGCAAGAGCGAGACCCCGTCTCTACTATAAATAGAAAGAAATTAATTGGCCAACTAATATATATAGAAAAAATTAGCCGGGCATGGTGGCGCATGCCTGTCGTCCCAGCTACTCTGGAGGCTGAGGCAGGAGAATCGCTTGAGCCCAGGAGTTTGAGGTTGCTGTGAGCTAGGCTGACGCCACGGCACTCACTCTAGCCTGGGCAACAAAGCGAGACCTTGTCTCAAAAAAAAAAAAAAACTATCCAAAAAAAGAGCCCTAGCAGACAACCGGAAATGCAGTTTTGAAGATAAAGACATTGGAAATAACAATTATTGATATTTTTAAGTATTTACCATGTACCAGACACCATCCCAGGTACTTTATTATCTCAGTCCCATCTGTGCTGCAGATGGTATTAGTGCTCTATTTTACAGACACAGCATAGCAAGCAACTTGCCCCGGTACAGTAACTCTGAGTGGTGGAGCCAGGATCTGGACCCAGGCAGCCCAGGTCCAGAGTTCATTCTCTTAAGGACTCTGCTATGCTGCCTCCTTAAATGTCACAGTGCTTCTTGTTAAAGCAGATGATACAAGAGCTGGGCAGCAGCATTGATAGCAAGCAGTCCCATTTATCTCTTTGAATCACAAATATATAGACAATACAAATTATACAAGATAATTAAAATTTGAAATGAGCCAAATTCACTTTTTTTCAGAGGTGAACAAGTCAACCTATGAAAGTGATGTCATCAGCTACCAAAAGCCACATACATGAAGAAGTCTGTTAAATGTTAACATGTAAGGGTTGTAGAATTCTCATAATAATCACACTTCAGCTATATTTGTGGAGTTTATAACAGATATACTTTGCACACACGATCCCACAAATCTTGCCAACAGCTATCCAGAGTAGGTAAAACATTTTTCACTATTCCTCTTAAGGAGAGAGGAGTTATGTGATCTCCCCAAGGTTAGATGGGTTGGGAATATAGAAAGGAAACCTGGGAGTGTATTGTTAAAGTTTTTTTTTTAAACAACTTAACAGAGTTATCAAAGTAAACGTCCATTTCTGCTGCAGGTTTCATATTGTGTGATTAGAACTGCCGGGATTTAAAGATCTATGTGAGGAAGTCAACCAGAACATGGAGAGAGCATCAGTATGATTCGAGTTACACTCTCCTCTCCTTTAATGCTCTCCTTTTCAGGGCATGGTGGCTGTGTCTGGTAGTCTGTCAGTGCTTCTGGATTCCATCATCTGTGCCCTTGGCCCCTTGGCGTGTCTGACCACACAACTACCTGAATTGAATGGCTGTCCCAAGCAGGTCTTGGTGAGTTTTCCTTGGATTTTTAGGGCCTGATCCATTGGTAATCAGAGAAGCCTTACCTTAATGAGCATTGTCAGGCACACAGGCTCATAAGGCTTTGTGGCATCTGGTGCTTCCTTCATCTGTCAGTCCATGGAACATGATACTACATTATTAAATACATGCCATGCTTTCGGTGAAACTAGAAAACATGCCATTTCCCAAAACGTTACTTAGGAGAGAAGAGGATTCTAGCCATTGAGGCATTGTAACTCCTGTGTTTCCTGTGTGCCATTCTACACACACAGACAGTACAGGAATTTTCTGCCTCTCTTTTTACTTAGGATTAATGGGGGAGAAGTCAACAGAAAAGCTCCTAGTATAACAAACAGCAGGATGCCATCTTTATTCTCACCCTATTTTTTCTAACTTCACTTTATTTCTCTCATCTGTCTCCCCTGGACAAAGAAACATATCTCAGGGAACCAAGGTAAAGAACTCTTCAATTGAACCTTTTTACTTTGTTTTGCAGTCAAACACACTAGACAACATTGCTTACATCATGCCTGGACTGTGACAGCAAAGACTCCCAAGACAGAAACCTTATCCTACACCATTGCTGGTTTGTGTATATATGACTGTTCCGGATCCCTTCACTGGCCTCTGGGTGTAGGTTTTAAATTTTTATACCTATATATATATATATATATATAATGTACAATATATACATAGGACTGTAATTACTTTGCTTTGAATAATTTTATGAAATGGTAAAGGTTTAGCTAAGAGGAAACTTCAGCATGAATATGGGCCTGGGATTCTTTTTTCCTGTGGTGGATAAATCTGCCTTAAAAATCAATGTAACGTGGGGGCTGGGGGCTTGTTCTAGGTGCCAAGTGCATCTCTTTATGGACAGCTAAAATGTGATTATTTTTCCAAACTCAGCTGGACCTCCAGACCCGTCACTGACCATTTGCCTTACCTGTCTTACAGTTAATGGGAAAGATTATGGAAGGATGCCAGTTGACTGAAAATACACAGCTTTTCTATTTGAAGTGACCTAGGTAGGAGGTGATAAAGTCATTCCCATGATAGTTATTGAGATGACTTAGGTGAACTGAGTAGAGAGTTTATTCTGATGCCTATTATACAGGTGTCCACGTCTCAAACTTTATTGTAATCATTGGTAGCCTCAATAGAGGCCAAGGAGTTATGCGAGCCCTGGCAGCAGAAAATACCTTGAAATGGGTAAAGTTGTCAGTGCCACCAGTTGAACCTACATATATTCTGAGCTGACCCAGAATATTTGGTCTGCCACACCAAAAGCTGGTATCTTTCACTGGCAGCATTAAGTTTGCCACCAAGTTTTTACATGCTGCTGCTTAGTTGCTTGGTTGTTGTGGATAAACTTTGCCCGGCACTATTCTTGGGTTCATCTTATGGGTTCCCCTGGTGGGCAGATACACAGTGTTCTGCATTCCACATTTAAGTGAATTGCAAAAAAAAGTACTCAGTTCTCATGTAGGTTTATTTATGTGTGCGTGTGAATGTGTATTTCAATTATGTGTATTTAACTCTTTAAAAATCTCTTAGATTTTAATTTATCCTGTAAATTTCTGTATATATAATTTAATAACAAAAGCCTCCACCAGCAACAGCATGTGGAAGATACAGATTTGTCATTTCTCCCTTCCTTCCTCTGGTCTGTTCTGAAAACTCTAAATCATCTACATATTAAGGTATCAAAAGTAATCATTATATTAGGATTCTAATTCTTTATAAAGAATTTCATGGCCTTCAATAATGTCAAGAAAGTAAAATAAAAAGGAATGTTACCATTCCCAGCTGCCCTTATTTCCAAAGAACCTGACTTTTGATTCCCAGTTGGAAAGGAGACAGTTGAGTACTTCAGGGTTGTTTTTAAATTTCGTGTGAGATTCCCTACCAAAACCAAGCTCTGGGATAACTGTGCTTTCTTCTCCTGGCCTCAACAGAGCACTACAGCATCAAAGAAAATCTCTGGGGACAGGGCAGCCAGCCTGCGTCCTATTTTACTCCTTCCCTTCTCCCACCAGTGTTGTCACAGGGCTGTGCTGCTTAAAGGTATTCTGGCTGCTGAATCCCTGTCTCAGCTCAGAGCAGTTTTGAGATTTAATTGGGGAAACAGAAGGAAATGGGAATGTTTGGAAACCAAAATCAAGAAGAGCAGAAATCTTAGCTTGATTTCACGTGTTAGTACCTTGTACCATGCCTCATTTGTACCCCTGGGAGTTTCCTGTTTGATACTGGGGTAGCTAGTGTGGGTCTGGAAGACATGAACAGTACAGGAAGAAGTCAGTCCTACCATTGTCATTTGTATACATTAATGAAATCCTGATGAGGACCTGCTTTTTGTTTGTTTGTTTTCCTTTGAAACCCAGCCCTATTGTATTTGTATTTAAATTTGTACACATTTGTATGATAATATGTACCTTGTGGTATTTGGTACTATTAGAGGAAAAACTTTGGATTCAGACCTTCTTGCAGTTTTTGTATCATTGTTTTATTTTGTTTTTTAAATAAATTCTAGTGGTTTGATCCAAATCCCATTACAGTTGTATAAAGAAATAAAATTTTGTACTTATATTATTAAAAATCACCTTTTTAATATTTGTAGCCCAGTCTCAGCTGTCTTTTCCCTAATTGTGTTAATCATAGTTGCTATGAAATTATAAAACCTGTTTTTCATACGTATCATACCATAATTTTCCCCAAAAAAAAAATCAACCTGCAATAGAGGTCAAGTTTCTAATCTTAGCGATTTTTCTGACATAAATCTTACTCTGTTTCTATTAATTTTTACATTTAGAGGCTCTCATTTTCTGTTTTCCAAATTGCAAATCCAGTGAATCTGATAACTGTGGCTTTATTTATTGGCAAATGAAACTATGTACATTATGGTGTTGGCCTAAATCAAGAAAATATTTATCTTGTGTAAGAGTTGTACCTGTATCATGTGGTAAATATGATTTGTCTCATGCTGTTTCATCACTGTCTGGCTTAGTCAGTGATGTTAAGTAAGTAAGTCACTTAACCTTTATAGGCTTTCAAAGTCCCATCTGTAAAATAGTGTTAATGTCACCTCCCTGTCCCCAAGCCTACAGCCAGCCAGCCAGCCTGGCATGGATGTTTAGTAATATTACGAACATTGACTATATGGGAATTTGACTTTTCCAAGTAAAAATTTCAGTGCAGATTCTAGGTGCTAAAAGTCAAAAATAGTGAAATAATACATTTGATTAAAAGGCTAACATCCTACGGAGAGGCAGCAAGAAAGAGACCAACATATCACTAAATGACTATTAGAGTGATTTGCATACTTTATATCACTTAATCCTCCCAGAAGCCTTATATTGTCCCCTTTACAGATGAGGAGGAAGATGCTACAAAGCACTTTTCCTAAGTTTATACAGCTAGTAAATGGCAAAGCCAGAATAAGAACACTTGTACAGCTGACCCCAAAGCCTAAGTTCCTTCTAACCTAAACTACTTGCAAATTTAAATCTTGCATATAATTCATCAGGATACATTCTTTACAGTTCTGAGCAAATGTGACTGCAGGAAAGCTATCTGAGATCTTTGCATTATTCAAATGTCCAACTGGCTTTCACTTTTCTTATCATACTATTGTCTTTAAATTTTATAGGCAGTGTATCTTGATTTTTGTTTATAAGTGCTTAAAGGACATAACAGATTACATTTATACAGACTGTCAATCTCAAGGGACCCTCAATAACGCATGATATTAATATTGCTAAAACACTTAAAAGGAAAAAGTAAATGGAAATTTTTACTGAATGAGCTTGTTTCTTATTAGCACACTTATAAAACATATTTTTAATCAGGATTGTTTTGTTTTGTTTTGTTTTTTGAGACAGAGTCTCACTCTCTTTCCCCGGGCTAGAGTGCCATGGCATCAGCCCAGCTCACAGCAACCTCAAACTCCTGGGCTCAAGCAATCCTTCTGCCTCAGCCTCCTGAGTAGCTGGGACTACAGGCATGCACCTCCGTGCCCGGCTAATTTTTTCTATATATTTTTAGTTAGCCAATTAATTAGTTTCTATTTTTTAGTAGAGACAGGGTCTTGCTCTTGCTCAACCTGGTTTCAAACTCCTGACCTCAAGTGATCCGCCGGCCTCGGCCTCCCAGAGTGCTAGGATTACAGGTGTGAGCCACCGAGCCCGGCTTTAATCAGGTTGTATACTAACTTAATGTGTGCCATTTACATCCTTGTCTACTGTGTTGATAAAATCCACATACTTCCATTTCTGTTTGAATAGCTATATAGTATTTTATTTGCGTGGTCCACTTCCTATTTGGGAGTATACGGGTTGTTTCTGATTTTCTGCCATGAAGAATAAAGCTTACAAGAACTTCTAGCAAACCACCACCCAACATGGGGATGTTAAAGGTTGTTAATAGAGGAATTCAAAAGAAGTTCATACTAAATATACTCCATACAAACCAAGCAATATGGTTAAATGAAGAAAGACCATGGAAAGTACCTGACATAACAGTCATCTTAAATGTACATCCCCCTTTATAGTCCAAATACCATTAATGAAAGGTAGATCGATTGAAATTTTCATATGCTAGCCATTGTGTTAGACAATAGTGATAAGCAAAATAGACATAGTATCCCTGCCCTCATGGAGCATCTGGACTAGTGGGGGAAAGGGGATTTGTTAGCTGGTCTCATGAGCATCATGGAAACACTTCAAAGCACAGGTGGGTTTTATTGTTTGTTTTTGAGACAGCGTCTCACTCTGTTGCCCAGGCTAGAGTGCCGTGGCATCAGCCTAGCTCACAGCAACCTCAAACTCCTGGGTTCAAGCGATCTTCCTGCCTCAGCCTCCTGAGTAGCTGGGACTACAGGCATGTGCCACCACGCCTGGCTAATTTTTTTTTTCTATACATTTTTAGTTGGCCAATTAATTTCTTTCTATTTTTAGTAGAGACGGGGTCTCTCTCTTGCTCAGGCTGGTTTCGAACTCCTGACCGTAAGTGATCCTCCTGCCTCAGCCTCCCAGAGTGCTAGGATTACAGGCGTGAGCCACGGCGCCCGGCCTCAAAGCACAGTTTGTATACTGTATAGTAAAGACAAGACCCCATGGCTGCTCAAACAAGTAAACATACAGAAATGATTTAAGTTCTGATTTAGGTTTTCAGTCATCTAAAATGTGTACAGAGTCAATTTATTAGCCTTTTAGATTTAAAAATCACAAACATCACGATCAATAAATATTAAGTACCCTGTAGTAGCACAAATGACCAAGGCCATGGTGATTGTATTTTTTTGGAGTACATGTCAGAAGAAAAAGTCCTAACCAATAAATAGGTATCTAGGGTGTAGGCAACATGTGACACAGGGTACATAGCCAGGAACCCTGAAGAAGAGATTAGAATCACAAATCTGGGAAAGGCCTTTGAAATTCTTAAAATGGGGTCCAGAAACCACCTGAGGTTATAAGCAAAATTGTACTGCTGCCTTTTTTTCTTCAGAAAGGCTCATGGCTTTTTTCAAATTCTCAAAGGAGCGTATGACCTAAAAAATACATTCCAGAGAAAATGGGAGCTCTCTGGCTTGCACAGCAAATTAATGGCAGAGACGGGTAGCAGCATTCCCACACGTGACATCTGTGTGCTTTCTGCCATCCTGGTCGCTAGCTGATCCCCAGCTGCAATTCACTAAATTGGCCGTCAGTCTCTAGGGGTCACAAACCCCTAGTCCTTGCCTGCCATTTGAGGCAAGTGAATCGGGTTGCAAGCAGGGCGCATCTTGGAGCATGGAGACCTCGACATCAAATAGGAGAGTCCTACCCAGGCAGGGAGACAACAGGCCCAGAGAGGATGTCAGCCCCAGGAGTAGGCAGGTATGCAGTCACAGGTCCCATGGTCTATGGGATAAGACACTAAGAGTCTGGGCTGCTGGGTGACCTTACCCAAGTCATTTCCCAGGTCTGGGACCCTGTTTCTCAGATGTGTAAGACACCATGCTATCCCCAGAAATCCTTTTGAAAACCGTCAGGGGCGTGGCTTGCCGCCCTCCCAGGCCCCGCCCCGGCCTCACGTCGTGCGTGACGTCTGTGAGGTCGTCGCCCTCGCCCGGGGCCGGACCCTCGCGCGTCGGGGCGGGGCCTGCGGCCAAGCTCCGGAGTTTCTTGGCCCCGCCCCGCGGGCAGTCGGGCGCGTCACGTGACGGGTCGGCGGCACTGGCGGTTGCTGTCAGCTGATTCCCAGGGTTGGTGGCAGCGGCAGTCGCAGCGATGGACTTTCTCCTGGGGAACCCGTTCAGCTCTCCGGTGGGACAACGTATTGGTGAGTCCCAGGAGCCCCGCACAGCCCGCCCCGGTGCTCTGCACCCGTCTCTGTTCCCCCGGCGCCTCCAGGTCCCCAGTGAGGCAGGGAGGGTAACGAGGCTGGCGTGTCGCTCCCCGCCCTGGCCCCGCCCATTCCCCCCGCCCACCTTTGATTGACAAGATCTGGGCCATTAGGAGGCTTGACTTGTGATGGATGCTTACGACAGCCAATAGGTAAAGAGGAAGGGCGGGTCAGGACGGCCGCGGCCCAGCCAATGTGCGTCTGCCGGGGTCCCGAATCGAGGGAGAAAGTTTGCAGGGTTAAAGGGACTGCGTGTTTGGCGTTCGTGGCGCTGCTGGGCTGTGTCCCGCGTGCTTCCCCAGCCTGGGTCCCGCCACCTGGGCTCTTGGCGGTCCTTCCTGGCTCTCCGGACTCGGACACCTGAGAAGGCTAGAATTGCCTTCTCCCAGGACCGGGGAGCCAGGGCTTGGCGTCTGCGGGGCGACTTGCGGGAGGGGCCCAGCACCCGAGACCGCCCGACCAAGAGGCCAGGCCTCATAGACCCTGGTCTTGGGATGAGCCCGCCTTGGCTCCTTTCACGAACCGGCGTCGGATGGGCCGGCACAGGCTCGCAGAAGCTCCGAGCCTAAAGAAACCAGCCGGGTCATCCTCCCTCATCTAAGTAGATGGGGCAGCCGAGCACTCCGGCCAGGGCTCCTGACTCCGGGCTGCTGATCGTGGTACTTTGCACCCAGTTGACAGGAGAGTCACAGTTCTGTGACATAGCCTTTCTGGGCCGGGGTTTCCTCACCTTTGTAATTGGGGGTAATAATGGTCCCTACCTCCGTTGGCTGGTTGTGAGGTTAAATTTGTTAATAAATGTGTAATACTTGGAACAGCGCCCGGCACGTAGCCAATGTTATATTTAAAAATGTTGTAACGTTTAATGTCGTTGTTATTGAGATACCACCAAGTGAGGGCCTGGAATCCCTGGAAATTGCTCATTCGGGGGCACCAACGTGGGAAGGCCCCAAAGGCCATGGCTCAAACAGCCGACACTTTTCCAGGGACAGTCTGGGTGTGCCCACTTCTTGCATGAAGAACCCCTGGCATTACTGTGAAATGTTTCATCTTCATCTTTCTGATAACTTTTAGCCTTACGTCCGGACCGGGAAAACTAGATCTTTAAAAGAAGTCATTCTTTTTATTCTTACTGTCTTAGAAGCCAAACCTGTCTGTAAAGTCTGTCCCGAGCGCTGTGTTGTAATCGCCACTGTGGCCGTTTGTGGCTCTTCTGAGGTTTTGTAATCGACTCTCTCCAAGGGGGAGGTGGCAGACCAGGAGTTAACACCAGGAAGCTCCTGGACCAGGGAGAGGAACTGCCCTCAGAGGACCCCCGCCTTCCCCAGGCCACACACACACCCCACAGTGAGTCATGGGTTCTGAGAAGAGAAGGCAGCTCTCCTCTCATCTTTCTTTCTCCAACTACGGTTACCACTACTTTTATCACATGCCAAGTTTGAGACTTACCACTTAAAAACAAACAAATAAATAAAAGATCTGCCTTCAGAGTGAGCCACATATTCCTGAGACTTTCTGGAAAAGCTCACCTGGGGCTCTGAGCCTCAGTTTACTCCTTGATAGCTTGCCAATGATAACAGCATCCACCTCACAGGGTGCTTGTGAGAATGAAGGAAGATAGTCCCCACAGAGTGCCTAGCACAGTGTGAGTGTGTGGCTCTTGCCATCATTGTCATCAGTCACACTGATACCCCACTATTTCATTCTGTTTGTGGTTGTGCATGTCTGGCTCCCTGGCCAGACTGGACATCTTTTTTTTTTTGAGACAAGTCTCACTTTGTTGCCCAGGCTAGAGTGAGTGCCGTGGCGTCAGCCTAGCTCACAGCAACCTCAAACTCCTGGGCTCAAGCAATCCACCTGCCTCAGCCTCCGCCCGAGTAGCTGGGTTTATATTTGATGGCTACAGGCAGGTCGTGCCACCATGCCCGCTAATTTTTTTTTTTTCTATATATATTAGTTGGCCAATTAATTTCTTTCTATTTATAGTAGAGACAGGGTCTCGCTCTTGCTCAGGCTGATTTCGAACTCGTGATCTCGAGCAATCTGCCCGCCTCAGCCTCCCAGAGTGCTAGGATTGCAGGCGTGAGCCACCGTGCCTGGCCCAGACTGAACTTCTTGAGAGCAGGAAATGTACTTTATTTTTCCAGACCCTTGGCACCTAGCCTGGTGCCCGGTACCTATGTAGTAGGAGGGAAGAAAGGAGGAAGGGAAAGTAACATTTTGTGAACAGATACCATTGCCAGATGTTATGCTAGTATCTGAGGTATTAATCTTCGTGGTGTCCCTAGACAGTCTTGCTAGTTTTTTTTTGTTTTGTTTTGTTTTTCATTTCACCACAAGTAAGTCTGGGGGAAAGTATCACTTCCTAGGGTTTCAGAGCCACTCAGGGTTGGGATCTAGACCCAGGTCTTCTCTTGCACCCTCACCGCACTACCACTGGCTGCTCAGCGCTTCTTCTGAACTTGTATTAGTTCAGCCCTCCAAGATCCACAGTTACTATTCTACCCACAGATTAGGGCGCACAGGCCTGCACACACTTGCAGATCATTTACCCTTGTCTATGAGTAGGAGAGCTTCCCAAGGGCAGCAGCCCATAGCTGAGAGAATTCCAGATCCTTTGGAGTAGGCAGTGTCGTCACATGCCTCTTCTTTGAAGGATTTCAAAACCCTTCCCAGGTATTCTCTGAGGACATATTCTATTGACTGTGTTTTATAGCAGATGTCAGAAATCAACCCAAGAATGCCATTTTCCTTTTCTGGCTATCAGCTCACCCCTGGCATTTTGAGTCTGAATGCCAACCGATTGATGAAAGCAAGGTTCAGGTATCGGAGGCTGTGAATAGGGCAGTCCCTAGGGACCAGCCTCAGTAGTTGGGGTGGTGGGAGCTGGATGTGAGGGGAGAAGAGCTCAGAGCCTTAGACTAAGCCCTGTAGTGGAGAAAAGAGGTGAAAAAGTCAGAGAGAGCTGTGCTTGGTCCACAAAGGCCAGGCCAAGGGAGCCACTGGAAGGAATCATAGAAATGAGAGAGCACCATGGGCCCCTAAGGGGCCATTTGGGAGTGATGGGCTGGAAACCAAAGTGGACACTCCAGTGGTGTTATTGAGGAGACAGCAGGCTGGGAGGCGGGAGACCCGTTCCAGCCCTAGTTCTTTTCCTAACCGAGTCCTGCTCCCTCTCCCTAGCCCATCTCCTGTCTGTAACATAGAGGTGCCACAACCTCCCTCTGCCTCCCAAAGGATTGGTGAGGAACAACAGAGGAGCTAGATGAGGACAGAGAAGGGTTGCTACTACAGGGAGGAAATTAACTGACGGCTGTTGTGGAAGAGTGATAGAACTGACTGTGCAGGGCTCCGAGGGCAGAGTGTGATGTTACAGCCAGGAGTTCAGTGCTAGTATAAATAGCTGTCCCTAGAGCGTTTCAAAGGTGGAGCAGACGGCCTTGTTTGGTAGTGAGCCCCCCACCACTGGAGGTGTGAAGGCCGAGGCTAGAGGGAATAAGACTGTGAAGAGGATTCCTGCACTGGCTGGCAGGGTGGGCTAGACTAGGGCCAGTATATTTTTTTATAAAGGGTCACATGGTAAATACTTAATGGCTTTGCAGGCCAGCTAGACTCTGTTGCAGCTACCCAACTCCGCCATCATAGGGCAGAAGCAGCCACAGACCATAGGTAAATGAATGGGCATGGCTGTGTTCTAGTAAAACCTTATGTATGGTGGTGAAATTTGTATTTCACATCATTTTCACGTGTCATAAAATATTATTTTTCTTTGGCTTTTTTTCCAACCATGTAAAAATGTAAAGACCATTCATAGTTCAAGAACCCCACAAAAACAGATTGAATTTGACACATGGGCTCATGTCTTGCTGACCTTGATCAGAGCAGCTAGCCAGGGGCAGAATGATAGAGGACAGAGTTCCTCAAAGTGGGGTCCCAGAGCACCCATGCTGGGGCTGCTTGGGGATGCCCCAGCCCTGGGACCCCTGTATCAGAACCTCTGCTCTTCCCTGCAGTGTGTCCTGGGGAGCCCTTAGGTTTTAAAGCTCTAGTTTTCTGATCTGTAAGTGCAGGAGCCACATTAGAGTCTATCTTGAGGATAACAGGCCTTTGTCTAGAAAGGGCTTTGCTATGGCTGTACCCGTTAGTAAGGCCCAGGGTGAGCTTGAGCCATATTGAATGATCTGAGTCTAGGTTCATTCCTCGCCAGTTACCTGGAGCAAGTTACTTAACCTCTTTGTTCTTCAGTTTCCTCATCTATAAAATAAGGATAATAATAGCACCTAACAGAGGGGCTGTTTTGTGTTATGAAGCACTTGACCTGGTGCCTTGCAGACAGGAAGTGTCCGTTATTGTTAGCTGTTGTGATTTTCACTGGTGTTATCATCCTGGGGCATAGTCTAAGTTAGTGGTGAGCTTAAGTGCCATCCCAGGACTCTGGCTCCAGAGCAGCCTTTGTGCTGGTCTTTGTGTCCCTGGGCAATGAGCAGTCTCCGGCTGGGTGGCAGCTGCAGTCACAGACAGGTCAGGTTTCAGGCTGCGGGCAGGGGGAGCTGATTCCCACTTGGGAATTAAGCCCTTTGACTGACGCTATGGCTAGAACTGGTGAATAGGTTTTGTTCCTTTACTGAGCTTGAAGAAATGAGTAAAGTTCCGGATTTTCACTTTCTGGTTTTAGGAAAACAAAACAAAACACTCAGTGTCTCCTAATTAGCTTGGGGCCATCACCCCTGAGAAGCATGGGGATTCAGGACAGGTTAACTCTTTATCTCCTTACCAAGAAGGTCTTGATCTAGGCCAGTGTTCTCCTAACTGCTGTTCTTCGTGCACCACCTTTATGCTTTATATATACACCCATGTCACCTTTATTATTATTTCATATGTTTTTCTTTAATTGGCCCACCTGTTTTGTTTTTTTCTGGTGACAAGGGCTCACTCTT